ATCCCCCCCCCCCCCCCAGCTAAGGTCATTTGGAGTTTTGGCTCTTATTAATTAAAATCTTGAATAATATCTTGCTGCCAATACTACTGTGGTGTTAAGAGGTCTAATGGATTGGAAAATAATTATATTTAAAAATTTTCACTAAGTTACAGGATAAGGCAAATAATCAGAACAATTTTTTTTGAGTAAATGTCAACCCAGGCTTCTCCTTTCCCCTTTTAGGGATGTCTGCTATATATGTTAGAGAAAAGATTGATCTACATAATTTAATCCTTCATTCTGCTTGTGCAACCATTATGCAAATGCTTTCATAACTCATTGCAATTTAGTACTTGTGCTTGTTATTTGACTAGTATTTGTACAACTGCTATAGCCACAAATCCATCTTGCATTTTTTCAAGTAGTGTTAGATTGGACACAGTGCTGTATTATAAATATTCTATTAATATTTTGCTTTTTTTTTGTTAAATTTATTAAAATCCATGATTAATGTATTCATGTTTTATGATTAATGGTTAATAAAAATTAGAAACTTAATTCTTAATTAAGGTAAACAGTATGACATGAGGATTATTTGTGTGTATGTGTGTTTGTGTGTTAATGTAGTTATCTTCTCTCCTTCTGTTCCCCCATCCCCAACCTCTAGATACACATGTTTGCCTATCAGGTCAATTTAAGTGTACCAAGAATCAGAAATGTATCCCAATAAATCTCAGATGTAACGGGCAAGATAACTGTGGTGACGAAGAAGATGAAAGAGATTGTCGTAAGTAATTTTCTTAGCTACATAAAAATTCAAAAATCTTCTAAAAACATAGCAGTCACAGTATATAAGAGGGCATATTGCTCATAAAACAGAAAGCCAAAGATAATACTACAGAACATGGACATTTGCATGGACAGATAATGATGATAGCCCAGACCCCTTGGATGCTTTTTGCAGGGGGGAGGGGCGAATGTGAGGTAGCGTCCTGTAGTAGGGCAGGAGGGAGCTGGAGTGATTGAAAGAATGCTGAGCTGGTAGATGCTTTATCTAAGGGCCTACCTAAGTTATTTGGGTGCCTCTAATGGCTTTGGCTGGCTGCCCTCTATGCTGATCCCTGGGCACCAGCCTATTGGGATCTTTGTGCTAGACTTGGAAACCAGAGTCTTTGTAATCCAGCCAGCTGCCTATGATCTTCTTGTCCGCCTAGGATGGGAAGGGTGTTATGGGATGATGGGATGGAGGGTAGAGCTGCCATTGAAGCTGCATACCATATAGGCTGCTGAGTGCCTGAAGGCAGGAGTGGCCAGGTGGGATGTCTGGTGTTTTTATGAAGGGTTAGAATGGCTATAATTGTGTATGTGTGTGGGGGGGGTGTCATTGTGGGAAGGAGTGAGAGGGAGGGGGTGAATGAATGAGAGTTATGAGTGCACTGTCCTGGGAGGTGAGAGCTAGGAGTGGGAGGGAACTGGGAGAGAAGGCAGACAAAAATATTGAAAATGCAACAAACAAGGATAGGTATGGTGGGAATCTGAGGGTGGGACATTCCTAGGCATGCTGGGACTGCTACCTGAGAACAGTCCAGTGTCCAGCCCTCAGTATTCTCCTCTATATCAGGCTATCAGATCCTTGGGGGCCCCGGGGTCTTCATCTACATGTATCGGGCAGCCAAAGTACCATGTATAACTGAGACCTGGGGAGGCCCACAGCAAGGAAATATACCTGGCCAGGTTTGGGTTGGAAATGTACCTGCCCAATTTTGGAGTTTGACATCAGCCAAGGACCCAAGGCAGCGGCAGGGGGGAGGGGAGGTGTGGCTGTTGTCACTCAGAAGCTTTGTGCTATAAATAACTGAATGTGAGACCGTCTAGATGAAGTGGGCTCTAGAGAACAGTTGGGATTGCTGCTGTTATATCACTCTTCCTGCTGCACAGCATCATCCCTGCCTGTCAGCCCTTCAACTAGATCAGAGCATGAAACAGATTCCACAGGAAGACTAGAACTATACTTTACTGAGATAGGCTAGAACCTTGCAAGCCTGATTGTGCTTTACCTCCCCTCTCTCTTATATCCCAGTGAATCAGAGAAGAGTCTGCCCGAGGTTCTTCTGAATACTATCTTGTTTCCTCAGACTTAAGGAATATTTCAGCCCTCTTTGCTTATATAACAGTTCTTGCTTATTTCCCTGATTTTCTACACTGCCTGACCTGCTGCATTCTGTTGCCAGGCTGGCTATGGGGACCCCATGGCTGGCTAGTACTTGGGGATTTCATTTTGTTACCAAATGACATTGAGTTTGTGATAGATCAGGAGTTCATGGCCTATGTAGCAACCACAGACCTGTCATAAGACATCAAAGGCCCAATGCATACCAGTAGTTGCACTTTGGATCTGGTTTTTGTCTTGGGGCAGTTGTGATGTGGTCTGCTAATAGATGTTTCCACCAGTCCATTGCTGTGATCAAATCACTCTTTGACTGCCTTTCAGCTTGCTGGGGAAGTCCAGTTCAGGTGCCTAGACATGGTCTTATGGGTTTATCTGGGATGTGTTTGAGTGTGTGGCTCCTGATGAAATGAGCAGGATCTTTCACACTCTGATTTCAGCCACTTGTTTATTAGATCCAGGACTCTTAATCACCTGTTTATTAAACTCAGGTCCCTCTGTCCTAAAGCTGCCTGGGTGGTGACCTCTGATTGGGTCCATGCAGCAGTATCCGCTTCTTTGAGAGAGAGGTGGTTCCTTTGGTCTGAAGGAGATGGCACTATGTCCCTTCCTCAAGAAGCCAACCTGTGCCAATCAATTCTGGACAACTTTCATCTACTTTCCAACCTTCCCCATTTAGCAAAGGTTGTAAATAAGATGGCTGAGCAACAGTTCTAGAGGATAATCTGTTTTTGGAGGTAACAGATTATCTGGACCCATGTCAGTCAAGCTTCAGGCTGGAGTACAATACTGACACAGCATTAATTGTGCTTGTCAATGACTTTTGGTGGAGCCAGGATGGGGCAGTGCATCCACCTTGGCTCCTTGATCTCTTAGCAGTTTTCAGTACCATTGATCACAGTATCTTTCTGGATGCTGTGGTCATTCTCCTTTCTCTATGGCCAATTCTAGTCAGTACTGATGGAGGGAGTGAGAGCCTTTTACTTTGGGGTGCCACAAGGCTTAACACTTTCCCCCTTATGTTCAACTTTTATATGAAACCTCCACATCACATCATTCATTGGTTCAGGGTCTGGTATCATCAGTATGCTGATGATCATCAGTATGCTGATGATGCACAACTATATCTCTAAACCACCCAGAGTCTTTTGGGCAGTCTCTAAATTCATATAAATAAATAAATAAATAAATAAATAATAAAAGATACTACTAAGCAAGGATTTTTAACATATGTTTTGTGGAACAAGCCGTAATGTCCTGGTTTATACATAGCTCTAAAATATAATGGTTTGATTTAGCACATAGGGGATAATATCCAGCTGAATATCTGGGAATATCTATGGTAAGAAACAGAATTTGGCATGGTCTAGTGTTAAGATCCAGATGTTGGACAGCTACTGCTGGCTTATACTAAAGTCTAACCAGCATGGTAGTTAATACTGATGATAGTATCAGGAAATATTTAGGTGAATGTTTTTCAAGAAAAATAGTTTTATGCAGCTTATTTCTATAAATGCTATCTTGCATATGACTAACCAAATTAAGTTCTGAAAATTGATTAGATTACTAAATTATATTAAAATAAAAATAATTAAGGGTAGGGTCCTATATAATGGGAACAAGCCCCTTAACATAATAATTTACTTTTGAGTAACCATGTATGAGAGCCAATTTGGGGTAGTGGTTAAGGCATCAGGCTAGAAACCAAAAGACTATCAGTTCTACTCCCACCTTAAGCATAAAGCCAGCTAAGTGACCTTTGGTCAGTCACTCTCTCTCAGCCCTAGGAAGGAGGCAATGGCAAACCACTTCCAAACAACCTTGCCAAGAAAACTGCATAGACTAGTCCAGGCAGTTGCCAGGAGTCAAAAACTGACTCAAAGAGACACACACACACACACATACACACACAGAGAGAATATCAGTTAATAAGATATTTAGATTCATTATAAAATGACCCTTTTATAATGCAGTCCAGAAATTTAGTTTATTCAGTAATAGATTCAATCCAAAATATATTCCCTTTCTCTCTCTTTATATTAATCAAATCTAATACAATGCTTTAAAGTACTGTTTGTTGCAATAAAGTACATTGCTGATTTTCACTTTGATAAACTATTTTGAAATAATAGTTTATTAATAATAGCTGGTTTAACTAAGGCATTCATAAATATATATATATATATATATATAGAATTTAAAAACTCTTTTTGATACTGATTGATCATCTTAATTCATTTTCTAAATACAGCTTCTCTCTCTCTCTCTCTTTTTTAAAGCGGAAAACAGCTGTTCTCCTGACCATTTTCAGTGTAAAACCACAAAACACTGTATTTCTAAACTGTGGGTATGTGATGAGGATCCAGACTGTGCTGATGGGTCTGATGAAGCAAATTGTGGTGAGTACTCTAAACAACTAATAGGAAATGTAATTTTCCCTATGCTTTTCTTATATATTCAAAATTGTACCATTCACATAGGAAAGATAGCTTTCAGAAAATTGTGAAAACCCCAAATTTGTGGACATAAATAAAATAAAAGAAAAAAACAACCCTAGGTGTGAAAAACCTGAAGCAGCCCAATGAGAAATATTTATTTTCAGTGGCCATTAATATTGATTACATGCATGTGTGATAGGGAACCTGACGGGAGAGATGGAATATGGTATATCTTTAAAAAATGACATTATTGGCTATCTATGTGCAGAATCATTTTGCTTAGAATGCCTGATAACATTTATTTATCAAATTTATATGGCCACCCATCTGCCAGAAAATTTATTGTTTGACTGATTCTTAGCAGCCCCATAGATTAATTCTGTCCATGACAATTTGTCCCTAACTTCAGGTCTTCCAGCAGTGCACCCATCTCCACTGTAACTGAGTCCATCCACCTTGCTGTTGGTCATTCTCTTCTTCTTCCTCCTTTCACTACCAGAAGTACATCAGATTGTAATGTCACATAGCGATGACGTTAACACATTAAACCTTGTGCTGTTTACTCTCTGATGGACTTATAAACTCCATGAAAGATTGAGTATGATAGATTTTGCTGCACTATTTCTTGCATGTTTCTCAAGGCCAAAATAAATTGTTTTATCTAGGAATTTTAATAGAGCAAAATTGGTTTATTCCAGAATTCACCTAAACTATACTGATGCAATCCAGAGATTTAGTTTATTTAGCAATAGATTCAATCCAAAATTTATTCTCTTTCTCTCTCTTTCTTTTCCTCCCCCCATATAAAATCTGCACTGTAATATGGTACTTTATTCAGTACTTTATTGCTTCTGCTACTGAAATGTGGTTTAAAATGTAATAGCTGGCAATTTGCAATGCATTTTTCTTACTTCTAGTCCTGCATACCTATAAGTATGTTAATAAAAATAGATAATTTTTGTTACAGATAAAAAGACCTGTGGGCCTCATGAATACCAATGCAAGACTAGCAACTGCATTCCAGATCATTGGCGATGTGACAGTCAGAATGATTGTGGTGACAATTCTGATGAAGAAAACTGCAGTAAGTACTGTCATAAGACTGTGAGTTTGTGAACCATTCTACAAAAAGGGAAAGCACTGTTTTAGTCTGCATTTATACTACTTTTAAAAGACATTTATTTTACCTTAACACTTTAGATGAGTGGCCAATAATATTAAAGATCAAATCTTCTGATTATAAAATTGCTTTTTTTTTTCTGTTTTAACAATTTTTTTTAATTGTTCTAGGGTCATAAAAATACTATGAGTACTTAAATAAATCCCTTTTTTATAATAACTTTATTAAAGATTACAATTGAAAACATAAAAAAACTAATACAAACTAAAAAATATAAGAGTAAAAAGAAAAACTAGAAAGTGCAGAAAAGGAAAGAAAAAGGAATAGAAAGAGAAATAGGGGAAAAAAGTATATAAAGAAATAACTTCCCCCTTCATCACAACGAGTCTAAACAATTTTAGTAACTTATCACC